GCTGATGACATCGCCCTTGTAACACGAAACATTAGCCAAGCGGAGCGTATGCTTGGCGGCTTTGATAAAGTCTGTGGAAGGATTGGTCTTCGAGTAAATCTCACAGAAACGATGTTCATGAGGAACGAATTGGTTTCGTATGCTCCATTCACGCTCAACGGAACGAATGTCTCTAAGTGCTCCAGTTATTTCTATTTAGTTCGGGAAATCAACATGATGGACGACTAAGCTCCAAAGATGAGCAGAAGAAAACGAGCGGCTTGGGGAGCTTTCAAGAGCATCGAGGATGTAGTGAGGAGGACAAAGAATACCCGACTCCGTACCCACCTTTTCGACACACCGGCACTTCCTGCGCTAACGTATGCGTCAGAAAACTGGTCGCTGCGTAAGCAGCGTGAAAGGTCAGTGTTATCGAACGCGCAGATGCAAGAGTATACCGTTCCGCACAAGTAAGGGATGGGATCCGAAGCTCCGGTTTGCTTCAACGATCAAAAATCGAAGATGCTGTTCTGTACGCAAAACAGCTGAATGTAAGGTGAGCCGGGCACGTAATGCGTATGAATGACAACCGATGGACAACAGCCTTTAGTGACTGGATTCCTCGGGATGTCAAACGTACTGCAGGAAAACCACCGACCCGATGGTAAGAGTTCTTCACAAAGAGCCTTGAAGAAGGATATGATGCTCGACGAGCCCCTAGAGCGAGCAGAATCCACTGGGTTACTCTTGCACGCGGCAGGGAAAAATGGAAGATTTACTAGCGCCCGCTCGAGTCACTCGACGATCAACGGGACTACAGGTGACAGGTGACAGGAAGGCATCTGTTTTATGGAGTTGTGAAACTTACATAGTAGGACACTATTGTCTGTGCTAATAAGGATTCATTGACAAAAAACTGAATTCTAATAAGTAAATTAATCTAAGTCTGTTTTGCGGAAATTATTATTTTTGTTAATTTTCACCCAGTGAGTGGGCGGATTACGAGGTTAGCTATTAGACCTGGTAAACGTGTTTGTATACCCATAGGGAATGCAATTTTCCTGATGTAAGTTGAACCAGTTTTCATGTTTAGTATCTTTTTTCATAGTTTTGTAATTACTATGGATCCAATCGTAGATGGCTGCCAATCTTGAGAAAAAACATAGTATTTATAGAATAGTAACATTTTAGAAGGTGACAGAAAGACGTGTTTGACATATTGAAAGTAAATGTGGACATTCCCTATCTGATAAAGTGGACGAGAGTATTGCTATAGCTGGAAACGAGCCGTTAACTGACGCCATGAAACGTTAGGTTTTCAAGCAATGATGAGGTGCTGTGTTGATAAAAACTGGTGTGCGTTTGCACAAGAGGAATTTAGGTGATTATGGAATAACACTCTTCATAATAGAAGGTGGTTGGTAGTGGATGATGTGGGCAAAGGAGCTTCAACAAGCAGTAGCTGTTGCTTGGCAACCTGTGTTCGCGCGTGAGCCTCAGCTGCATGGCTTGACCTCTCTCATCGTGTTCTCCGGTTCACTGAGCCGCTATTACAGAAGAGCTTACAGTCTTCGACCACTTCAGCGCACCGATAATCTCGCACCTTTTTAGAGAATGTTGATTTCCATTTTTATTTCTCTCATGCAGTTTCTTCAATGGATTCGATTATTTCTACAGCAACTCTAGATGTTTTCCGAAAACACGGTTTCTGTTAACTTTGTCAATGTCTGGAAAGTTTGGGTCTTTGGTAAGCAGACACAAGATTGTTAACACAATAGTTATGTTACAATAGCTAACGTTACATCAAATTTTGCTTCCTTCAGAATCTGGAAGGTATTACATTGACATGTAACTAACTCAGAGAAGTAGGTCTATGAGGAGGAAAACATGACTTGTATTGCAGTCGTATTTTGAAGTTTCTTTAAAGCAGTTGCCACTTTTTGTACACCTTCCATTTATGGAGGGAGACTGACCGCAAAGATACTATATGCGTGAGAAATGTGTCTGTCTAATCAGATCCTAAAATAGTCGGCTTAAGAGAGCAGTGAGATTTGTAGTCACAACACATTCCAACCTATGGTTCACCTTTGGGTTTCCGAAGCTTATTCAGAATCCCTCAAGAATGTTATACGGAGATTGTAACTTTATTTCGAAATCTTTTCAATTATGCTTCTGTGTCCACTGTGCGTCCTGAGGAGTGTTTTATATAACTTTAATCAACTTTGATTTCCCTCTCTAGGTCTTCTTTCATGCAGACGCAGAGTTTTCGTTTTGCCAATATATTCGTTCCGCACGCTTTGCAATGGATCAGGTGCACTATACCCGAGCTCCGAGCTCATGAAATCACCGTCTCTGCCGTTAAGGCAATCGTACAGTTTTCCGTTGTGCATAGGCGATAACGTCGGAGGACTGCATCACGTACACTCCATTAGGATGGGCGCTGCGTAGAGGTTCCAGGAACATTCGATGTTTTTCTTCAATAGGCAGAAAAGAGGTTGTTATTATAGAATTTATTAGGATACAACAGCTGACGTTTCTTATTGACACTTATTGAAGAAAAACATCGAATTATCAATCAATACCGAGGTTAACAGAAAGTCGGTCCTGGGAATTGCTACGATCCAGGAACGTTTGGGTGTTCGTAAGAGAGGCAGGAATGCGTCGTTTTCTTGTCCAGCAATCGCGAGGTTGTTATACAGCATACGTTTACTTCCACAGAAAAATACACAGTAAAATACGACAGTAGCTGACGTCTCGGCAGTATCGCCGTCTTCAGAGCCTGGAAGGGTATACTGATATACAATTTATTAGGCCAAACGCTTCAATAACACATATAGAAAGACGAAAAACTCTATGGTAATTACATGGTCAACAGCTTCCCGAGAAACTCACCGCTTTTTTGTGACTTCCAATGAGGACGTTTAGCATAGCTGATTATAGTCGCATTTGGTTGATGACTGCACCATCCCACATCAAAAATCGATGCGAACATACGGGATCAGGTCGCGTATGACCTCCGGGCATTCATCCCTGCTATTCATTGCAGGGTTTTTGGCATTTATCGAAAAAGCCTCATGAAGTTTTCGCGCTGGTGTTTTGGACTCCTGTGCAAGGATATTGACTTTTACTTCAAATTCGTCTCCGCTATGCTTTTGTATCCTATGCGTGCCTAGTGGGGTACTAGGAATATAGGAATGTTTTTCAGAGCTGAATATGTATTAGGCTTACAAACCATGTTGTTCTATTCCTGAGCCCGTCTGAACATCTGATGATGAGTCTAACCTTGAGCGCGAACGGTCGTCGATAGACATAACGGCGGGTATTAAAATATGCATTTTGATAAGGACGTATAAGAAAGATTACAGTGCTATCTCTATTTTAAGACAGATAAATGACGGTTTTAAAACTGCAGTGCTCTGACGATTTCTATCTACTCTTCGGACATAACGTTGGAATTCTTTGGCATACCATAGGTGACAAAGAAAGGCATCTTGAAAATGTTTTTCCATTATCTAAATTTTTCTTGTCTCAACATCATCAATTTAACGGTAGATTGAGAAATATTTGTGTAGGATGTATTTAAATTGTTGAGCTTACACGAGGTTGATATACAGATGTATTCGGCTAAAGTTTCGACCTCTTCGTCTTCATCAGAGCTGATGATCCGTGTCGATGGTCCACAGTTGTTCGTCATCTCAATGTGGCGCCTTCGTTGTCGTACCGAGACGAGATCTTCTTCAGCGAACACCGAACAAATGAGGCATCCTCACCCGGTAGTCCACTTTAATAGAGGGCGGTTGTTGTTGATATGAGTATCAGCTGGTAATAGTTTGTCTTTCAAATGATAATCCACCCTGCAGAAGTCGGTATTATGTTAGCTAGCATACAACGAAGAGCAAAATAGTTTTTGAACCGCCCCATTTAATAATTTAAAATTTTGATCGATCGATTTAATCTTAACTTAGTTTTAAAAATAATTTTGTAGCTTTAAAGTTTCTACTTCGAACGCGACACCTGCAAGCAACAACCATACACAGAAGGACATCATTGCGTCCTTTTCTATCAAATCTCGACCGTTGAATTGTTTAGTAGCTTGAAACCTCTCCATTGACGAGGAAACAAGCGAAAGGAGACTTTTATGGGTCCTAAAGACAAAAAGAAGGATTTTGGCATTTTGGAGTAAGATTACTTGTATTTTGTATAGAAGGATCTTTGTGGACAATGATTGCGAAGAAAACGAGTCGAATGGAAGTAGTGCTGGGATCCGTGCAGTAGATATGAAGAAGGAACATGCAAAAATTGGAAAAGAAAGTGAAAATTTCTATTGATGTTGTTCTTCGTTCAAAGCTTGCACTGAAGTACATCTCTGTCGAAATCCTCATGATTATTTTGGCATATTTCACATTCATTCACATGTGCCAATTCTGCAACATACAAAATCTCTGAACATTTCAGAGCCAGAGCAGTGCCGAGTATCCCTCTCAAGAATCTGTGATTCTTATAGTCCGCATTTGTAAGATATTACTTTCGCTCCCAATCTCTCCGCATTCGTGCATTCATCGAGGAAGTCTACCTTTCCATGGTTGTGATCCTGCTAGAGGAACGAGACAAAATATGGTTTTGAAGAAGTTCGTTACGGCCGAAACTGTTTCTCTGATGTGCAAACTACAAAAAGTTGACTATTATTGTAATTCCATTTTGAAAAAGGGAAAGAAACAATATTCATCAATCTTACCTGTATACTTATGTTTCTAGCATGAAAGGCTTCTATTTTACAAAGTTTGTTTCGGCTTGATTGAGAATGAAATTTTAGCAGCAGTAACTTCACAGCCGTTCATGTCAGATGCGATGTGGCCATGATACTTGGAAGTTCATTTATATTTGTTTGCGAACGACTGTAAAGAGAAATATTAAGAAAACTGAGGGTCTCCTTGAGTCTCACCTTGGACTAGACGTTCTGTAGTAAGCACGGATTAAACTAGCAAGCATGGAATTTTAATGTTGTTTCAGCAACGTTGTGAATGACTCAAGTAATCAACTACTATGCATTGAACGAATTTCTCGAGCATCAGTCCGACGACACGTCTTCAATCTACCAGTGGTACGAACGACTATCCGAAGTACGCTCTCCACCAGTTTCTCATTCGTCTTGTTATCGTTTTGTTCTGATTTTGAGATATTCAGAACGAAAGGAATGTTTTTCACCTAGGCAGCTTACTAAAATTTCAAGTGGTTGCCTTCCACTTATTCAACTCTTCAAATTTCTCGAAAAAGAAGTCCATTGATTAAGCATTATTAGTTACTAGAAAACATGAATATATTGGATCCGTTGAAACGGGATTTGTAAAGGATGAAATCTGCTACATCAATGTTTCGTGAATGTCAATGGCTTTTAATGTTTCCAGTATGAACTTGATGGCAACGAATCACCGAGAGAACTTGAAACTCTATTCGAAGCAATGAAGTACGTGGATATATTTTTTATACTCCCACTCGTACTTTTCTAATTTCGATGGCTTTTATGTCATTACCGAACTAACTGAGTTCGGTTCAAATATTTCAAATAAATTTGCAAGCTGAGATATCAGAAGCAGAGGACTGAAACTGGACGATTTTTCTGAACTCGTTTGCATAAACAATATTTAACAAAGCTAAATATTAATTAGGTTTCTGATGAGCTTCTCATTCACCGCTGCTGAAGAGCTGAGAGAAGTGGCGGAACGAGAAGCAGTTCAGATGGCCGAGAAGGAGGAGGCATGGGAAGAGCAGAAAATCGCACTCAAGGCAAGATCACAACGGCTTCCTATCATTGTTTTTTACCTTTAAGAAACGAGAAAGGCGAAGTATCTGCCACTTTTTAAAATGAGACCAAAAATGAATAAAAAGGAAAGGATGATATCATTTTAATGAATTATAATCCCGTTAATAGTCGATTAATTTCAACGGTCACAGTTAGAACCTCCAAGACTGTTGAGCATCTGGGCTTCTCAACGGGTTCGGTTCCTCTATGGGAACAGAGAATGGAATACAACCACAATGATGCTGAGATATTTGCAAAAACTGGACTTCAGGCCAGATGCGAATCCGCCACCCTTTCCAGGGGCTCACGCGTTTTACCCGTGTTTTGCAAATATCTCAGCATCATTGTTGTTATATTTCACATAGTACTCTGCAGTTAAAAATAATGCGCAGATATAAACATATATATATATATATACATATAAAGTTAAAGAATGGAACGTCCATTATCACCACAAGTTTTGAACAAGCGCAAGTCGCACTCTGGACCGCTGCCACTGAGGCTGACTAATAGCGAGGGGCATTTGTGCAACTACGAACCCTCTACCAACGATAGATTGGCAAGTATGAAATATCCAACCTTGAATGGAATATTTTAATGTTATAACATTTACCGCAGTGCGACCTAAGGAAGACCTAAGGAAGAGTCCCATTATAATAAACTCGCTTTTCCTGTTGTGATTCACGCTTAAATATTCCATTCGAGTAATACATGTTTTCTCTGGATCCAACAAAATCATCACTTTAAATAATGAATGTTTTCTTGAGGCGGAAGCTGTTTAGATTTTTGGACAAGCAGTAATATATTGGTGATAAATATGTAATGGGAGAGGAAGGGGGCGGAGTTTCGTATTCGAGTTCCCTCATATTCCAGATCACCACTTCTGAAGCGCTTAATGGGATACGTGAATACTTGGACGGCCTGTCCTCACTGGTTGTGTGGGTCCCAGCATATTCTCCTTTTTTCGAAGTTTTGCTGGTTTAGCCATTGTGTTTCCCTGGAGTCCTGAGGTCAGCTTGGCGAAAAGTCTGTCCCAGGTCGTCACCACCATGGGCAGTAGCAGCCCTTGTGGATCAGAGGGTGATTTGCCACCATGCAACTAGTTTGAGACCAGGACGTTGGTAGATCCTGATATTGGTTTACGCTTAGCTGGGTTTCCTGATGGAAATGCCAGAATCCTTCCTGGCCTAGGGGACCCCACTGAAGGAATGAATCCTTCGCTGTACATCGCAGCCCGACACCCAGGAACACCTCCCAGTCACGATGATGTGGTTAGCCACTGCGATGAGTGAAGCACTAGTGTGCGTCATCGTGTAATAGGGTAAAATCTCTTTTATCAGTACTGGTCTCTGGTATTTGTGGGTTCTTCTCAAACTCCTATCAAGGCTTTTCCAAGGTTGATGAAGTTATAGTAAATGGTTTCATTTGAGTAGCATTAAGAACCCGTCGTAACCATTTAATGCAAAATTGGTTCGGGTAGGTGTTTCGGTGCTTTGTCTCCATCTTGCTTTGAGAAGAACGTCATATTTCACCAAACTGAACTCATGTTTTGTTACACGCCACAACTCGGGCAAAAATGACCTTTTTTACATAAAAGAAGGTAGAAACTTATCACATAACAACTTATCTTTGTCATTGATTTAATTTGATTAGCACTCATCAAGTTTTCTATAACTTCTGATCTCGATTTAGGATCTTAAAAATACCCTAGTTCCTTATAAAAATAGTCCTCTCACTGGATCACTGTGTGTGATTCTCGTTCAACTGACGATCCCAGATCGTAATTGTCGGCTGCACGAGCCCATTCCGACCTTTCTATCTTCAGGGGTCCCATTTCTACCCTATAAGTTTTGAAACTAGCTTCGCATTTTGCTCTTGTAGATGGTTAGGCCAAATTTAGTGTTGTGGGTGATTTCTTCGGCTTCATGTCCATGTTTGGATTTCTTTTGGGAAAATGCTCGACATTAAATTTCGCTGATAAGCGCAGATGTAATTTGTAGCGAATTTCATTGTGGGTGACTTCTTAGTGACATCGTCATCTTCAGAAATCGCGTTGGTTCGAGTTGTGAATGCCTATAGTTTTTTGCTGCGATTTGTTGATCTTTAAAGTCTAGAGCGAGTCCAGTTGAGCAGTATGGGATACGGTACAAATATAGTGATTTTCACGAGGAGATTTTCTTTTGCACAGAACTCTTCCTTGTCCATGACCGCTTTCAAGCTCCCCAAGATTAATTTTCTATTAACCGCCGCAATGATTGATAATTCACTGTTTTTCTTCAATGAGAAACACGAGATTGGTATTACAGAATTCATTAGCATACAGTAGCTGACGTTTCGACGGTTTCACCTTTTTTAGGGCCGCTTTATTCTTTGTAAGTATTCCAGTTACTTGGTTGAGAGCTGCTGCACAGAGTGGTGCGTGAGCAAAGAATGTGAAGGAATTTCTGAAAGACATTTTAGGAAGAACTGGACTCTTTACGCGAAAGAATTACTCTCTCAGCAGATGCTGGAGATTCGAGCGAAGCGTTTCGAGCACAGATTAACTCGTTACGGGAGGAAAACCGTGAGTTGGAGAAGGCGAACAGGGACCGCGACCGGGAGATGGCCGACCTGAGGGACAGGTTCCAATGAATTCGAATATTCTCTGGATAGACTTTCTTCTCTACCTTTCATCAAACTGTTTAAAAAAACTCCTATTTCAATTGGATTATCATTTTAAGTCGTAAATCTCTGCGTTTTGACTAACTCGGAGCACAAACGGATACAATCTTTTTAATCCCATTCATCAGACATTTTACTTATCTGTTCTTCTTGAAATTTGTACTCGAATGTTTTGAGAACTGCTAAAAGTGGATTAAACGAGGATAAACACTGTATGAGTATTATGTTACTGCCAAGTATTACAAAAAAATAGCAGTTTTCGAGTGAGAAATATTACTTGAGTCGTGTGTGTTCAGATTTGAGAGCTTAGTGACGCGAGCTGATGTGCTGACGAGGGAGCGTGATGCACTCGAGCAACATGTGAGTTGATGGAAATAGATGGTTACACTGGCGAAAGTCAACGATATTGACTGCAGAGGAACCAGATGGAGGACACGATCCGCGAATTGCAGCGAAGGATTTCGGCGAAGAGCGAGGAGAGCACGAACGAGTGGGAATCAAGGAAACTTCGACAACGCAACGAACAAGCCGTCACTCTCACTAGGCAGATGCAGGTGGGAAGGGTTGCAACTGTTTGTGGTTTTGTAGTCGAAACAGATAATCACATAGATCTATTTATGATGTACTCTATCCAATGTAGCGAGGAGTTTTTGACAACGGAAGTATCGACGTATTGCATTTACTACAATGTGGGCGAAAAATATGGAGGCTTCTGTTCGTAACTTTGTGATCGAACCTATCAAAATAAACATGAAGATGAGTAGAAAGCAGTTGTTTACTGGAACTTTTTGCGAACATGAAAATTAGGCCGAAATCGTTTATATTTTTGCAGAAGTTCCGTTTTTGTTTAGTCAGTAACTTTATTCGGATACATTAGCGTATGATATGCAATTTACTAAAAAAGAGGCTGATGAATATTGCTGAAAAGGAACTCTGCTGAAATTAAAACACATATTTTAACTTATTATTTACTATGAGTTAGAAGTTAGTTAGTTAGTTATTATTTACTCATGGAAAGCAGCTCTGAGGAAGGCGAAATCCGCCGAAACGTCAGCTTGTGCGTAAATAAAGAAATAAAATAGTACCTCGTGCTTGCTGAACAGAAGTAGAAAGATATATTCAGTCAATGCCGAGGTTAATAGAAAGTCGGACTTGGGAGTTATTATTTACTGCTTACTCTTTTTAACGGCAGGGTATGCATTGCGAAATATAACTTCAATGATGCTGAGATATTTACAACACTCCGGACCGCAGGTGTATGCGGGTGGGGAACGAACGCGCTATTGTCCTTTTCGGGGAGTAACGCGCTCACCACAACACCATGCGGGTCCTTCGCTTCGCATCTCTGAGCTAGTTCTATCGATCTTTTGCCATCAGCAATCACCCGTCGGCGGGATTGATCTAGGGGGCCCAAATGGTGTGGTGGTGAACGCGTTACTCCCCGGAAAGGACAATAGCGCGTTCGTTCCCCACCCCCATACACCTGCGGTCCGGAGTTTTGCAAATATCTCAGCAACGTTGTGGTTGTATTTCGCTTAGTACCCTGCCGCGAAATTATAGTACGCAGAAAATAAAAAGGTATCTCAGCATCGTTGAAGCTAAAACACATAGTTTAGATTTGACTTTGTCTTCTATTCACCAATAGATCGTGATGACTTCAAATATTCACAGCTATGCCGCTTTTAAAGACTGAAAATTTAGTACAGTTCCCATTATCGACTTTCTATTAACCTCGGCATTGGAATATGAATGCGTCGCTTTCTCGTTCAGAAATTGCGAGGTTGTTATACAGCATACATTTACTTCAGATAAAGTTAGTAAATGTATGCTGTATAACAACCTCGCAATTTCTGAACGAGAAAGCGGCTGAGAATTTACTTTTGTCCAAACCTGTTGCGATTTTTTTAAGAGCATTTAGATAACAACAATGTGAGCAGAAAGGTTCCATAAATTATGTGTATTGCTGTGTTAAGCTGAATGACAGTGGCCTTATTGAAATTTTTCGATTTTTCAAGAAGAATTACGGTGATGATTATAAAGCTAAAGGATGAAGCTTTTGGGGTTCCTCCAACGAATGGATATCTGGCCTTTACAAAGACTCCCAGTGGCCTATCGATGTATCGAGCCAGTGCTGCTATCTTCCCACTCCCAAACAAGTCTGGTATCAATTTACTAATCCTGAAGAGTTGGAAGGCTTGGTGAGTCTGGGGCGCGGAGATCGATCCCTTGTGTATTGCAGGACCCCTCCGACCAGTGGGCCACACGCGTCCACGGTGGAGATTATATGGTATCAGTTCACGATGTTGCACTGCTAGGCAATTAGGATTCAATACCATGTAGTACTCAGAAGAAAAGCTACGTTTTC